ATTATTTTTTTTCGATTTTAAGTTTCTCGGTTTTTAATTTTTCAATTTCAAATTTTCGTGTATTCAGTTCTTCTAATTGCAATTTTTCATTTTTGGTTTTTATGGTTTTTTTCGATTTTTTAGTTTTGCAATTTTTAATTTTTCGATATTAAATTTCTCAATTTTTTAATTTTTCGATTTTTCACCGTTTCGAATAAAACAATTGGAAAAATTGCAAAATTGTAAAAAAATGAAAAATCAAAAATAAAAAACGAAAAAGTCTAAAATGAACTTTTGAAAAATCTAAAAATTGAAAATAAAGAAGATGGAAAAACAAAAAATTGTGATATCAAAAAATTATAAAATTGATGAAAAAGGAAACACGAAAAATTGTGAAATCAAAAATTGGTGAAATCGGAAAATTGAAGAATTAAAAACGAGAAAATGAAAAATTATAGATCAAGAACTTGAAAAATTGAAAAAATTTGATTTCAAATCTTCTTTTCGAATAAAAAAATTGGAAAAATTGCAGAATTGTAAAAAAATGAAAAATCAAAAATAAAAAAACGAAAAAGTCTAAAATGAACTTTTGAAAAATCTAAAAATTGAAGATCAAGAACTTGAAAAATTGAAGAACCGAAAAATTGAAAATTTTGGAAATGGAGAAATTGAAAAATTGAAAAAAACTTGACTTCAAATTTTCGTTTATTCAGTTTTTTGGTTAATTTTTTTCCGATTTTTAATTTTTCGATTTTTCACCTTTTCGAGTTAAAAAAAATGGAAAAATTGTAAAAAGTGAAAAATCAAAAAACGAAAAAGTATAAAAAGAACGCTTTGAAAAATTTAAAAATTTTGGAAATGCAACAATTTGAATTATTGAAAAAACTAAAGTTGAACAAAAGAAAACTTATAAAACAGAAGCACTGAAAAATTGAAAAATGAAAATAAAGAATATAGAAAAACAAAAAATTGTGAAATCAAAAATTGGTGAAATCGGAAAATTGAAGAATTAAAAAACGAGAAAATGAAAAATTATAGATCAAGAACTTGAAAAATTGAAAAAAACTTGATTTCAAATCTTCCTTTCGAATAAAAAAATTGGAAAAATTGCAGAATTGTAAAAAAATGAAAAATCAAAAATAAAAAAACGAAAAAGTCTAAAATGAACTTTTGAAAAATCTAAAAATTGAAGATCAAGAACTTGAAAAATTGAAGAACCGAAAAATTGAAAATTTTGGAAATGGAGAAATTGAAAAATTGAAAAAAACTTTATTTCAAATTTTCGTTTATTAAGTTTTTTGGTTAATTTTTTCCGATTTTTAATTTTTCGATTTTTCACCTTTTCGAATTAAAAAAAAATGGAAAAAGTGTAAAAAGTGAAAAATCAAAAATGAAAAAACGACAAAGTATAAAAAGAAAGGTTTGAAAAATTTAAAAATTTTGGAAATCCAAAAATTTGAATCATTGAAAAAACTAAAGTTAAACAAAAAAAACTTATAAAACAGAAGCACTGAAAAATTGAAAATAAAGAAGATCGAAAAAGAAAAAATTGTGATATCAAAAAATTGTAAAATTGATGAAAAAGGAAACACGAAAAATTGTGAAATCAAAAATTGATGAAATCGGAAAATTGAAGAATTAAAAAACGAGAAGATGAAAAATTATAGATCAAGAACTTAAAAAATTGAAAAAAAAACTTGATTTCAAATCTTCTTTTTTCAGTTCTTCGATTTGCAATTTTTCATTTTTTCAGTTTTTTGGTTAAATGGGAGAACGGGTGGGTGGGTGGGGCTAACTCTAATTTTTTCGAAAAATAATGTAAAAATTAAAAAACAAAAAATTTAAAAATGAAAAATTCAGAAGTAGAAAAATCGAAAAATTGAAAAATTTAATACTGAAAACTAAAAAAATTGCAAATCGAAATATTATAGAAAAAAACTTTAAAAACCGAAATAGTTGCAAAATAAAAATCGAAACACTAAAAAATCAAAAAATTGAATATCTGAAAAAAATCAGAAAAGTTGAAAAATTAAGAAGTTGTAAAATCCAAAAATTTTAAATTAGAAACTATAAAAATTCAGACATAAAACTGAAAAACAGGAAACAAAAAATTTAATATACAGGTACTATTTGGAAAAATCGAAAAACTTAAAAATTAAAAAATCTAATAATGGAAAAATGGCAAAATTCAAAATCGAAAAATTGAAAATTATAAACTCTAAAAAATTAAAAAAAAAACAAAAAACTCGTGATTTGCCAAAATCAGTCTTATCCTAGCAAGTACTAGCCCCGCCAACACGCCCCGCCATTTATTTTCTTGGAGAGTATGTCATTTGCCAAAATCAGTATTATTGTATCAGAATCTAACCCCGCCCACCCGCCCTCTATTTTCTTAGAAGGTATGTGATTTGAAAAATCAGTTTTATCTTAGCAATATTAGTCCCGCCCTCCCGCGTTCTTCTCATTTTAACAACTAATTTTATTTCTGTTCAATATAAGATCCACCTTTCATTCAAACTAGATACAATCAATAACTGAAATGGCGAAAGGGTGGGTGGGCGGGGATTAATATATTCTCTCTCTAGTGAGAGTGGAAACTAAATGAATCTCGAATGTAAAAAAGTAAAAAAAAGCGCTAATCGTAACTTTGTTTGTAATATTTTTTGCTATATGATTTATTTCTTATTTCAGATGAAAAAAAAATGAGAGGACGGGTGGGTGGACGTGGCTAAGTTTAACTTTTTCCAAAAATCGTAAAACTGAAAAATCAAAAATTCAAAAGTTCGAAATTCGAAAAATTGAAAAATTTAATAGTGAAAACTAAAAAAAAATTGCAAATCAAAAAACTGAAGAAACGAAAAACTTCAAAAACCGAAAGGCTGAAATATAAAAATAGACACAAAAAAATCAAAAAATAGAATATTTGAAAAAAATCTGAAAAATTCAGATGTGAAATCGAAAAATTAGAAACTAGAAACATTTAGACAAAATTGAAAAATCGGAAACAAAAATATTCAAAAAATTGAATATATCCATATTTGAAAAAATCGAACGACATAAAACTTAAAAAGTCTGATAATTGAAAAATGGCAAAATTCTTTGATCTGGAAAACCTCAACGCCAAGCGGATTCATAAACCACAAATACAGAGATATGTTATTTTATAAAATTTAAGTGGCATTTAGTAAACAAAATTTAACAAAGTATTAGTAGGGATGAGTAGAGCAATTTTGGTTATTTTTACCATCTACACGATATTCCTAACAGGCATATTAAATTTGACTACAATCGGTCTGGTAGTTTCGGAAAATATCTGTCTAATAAAATTAAAATATAGATAGTAATAGTCACAGTGTATTGAAAAAAGATCCATGAGGGGATCGACCACGTCATTATTACGACGCTTTACCAACTGCATTTATTTGAAAGTATTATAAAATATTATTATGCGATTTGTTTTTTTTTTTGCTAAAATTTGGACCTCTAGGATAAATAATCAAGACGTATTTATTAAACCAAAACAGGAATATGTTATTTTATAAAATTCAAATAGCATTTACTATGCAAATTTTGGCGTGACGTCATTAAATTGTTGGTGGGGATGATGGATGAATTTTGGTCAAGAAAACATGAAAGTAACCGATCACTGGATGGATGTTATTACTTATTACAAAACTTCCTCAATTTAGACCCGGAAAATAAAAATCTGTAAAACAATTATACAGAACTTTCCTCGCCTCTAAAGCACAACAAATAATATTTACATGTGATGACGTATTTGTCAATAAAGATTTGTTTAAAGTTCAATTAAATATAGTGGTTCGAATGTGAACAGCAATCTTAACACTACAGCATAACATAAATCCACAAAGATTTTCGAGATAACGTAATTAATATTTTGGTGCAACTGGGTTCACGTATTTTTTTTTGAGGTGTTTCCTAGAAAATGAGTTTAAAAAATAAAAGCGTTTTTTCATACTTTGAAATAAAAATTTACTTATTACTTTTCTTACGAGACGTCATCAATTTAAAAACCAAAATTTTAAGAAAATTGTGAATAATTAAACTTCAGACAAATCTTGTCTTTAAACTACAGGTAAAATTTACTTTCAACAATATGGAGACAACACCATTCGTTTCCTAGAAAGGATTAACATTTCACGGTAATTATTAGGATTACCATTTAGACCATGATGGTATACTTAAGAATTCTCGGTAATGGGTTCGGGAATTTCGAAGATAAACTATCAAACGATGAACGGAAATGGGAAATTTGTGTGGGTTGCGATTACGAAACACCAAGAAAAATAAAATTAGAAAAACATCAATAACAATGACTCATTTACAACCATAATTTGTTTATTTTGAATTTTTTCCTTAGTAGAGAAATCTTCAAATTGGAAAAGTTCTTAGTCAAAAAAATCCCCGTGACAAAACTGTGATCAATTGTTCTGATAACGATTTTCTCTTGAGCGAAATGCTTGGTATGAACATTAAATTTGTTCGACACCGATTGTGTTACAGTTAGATAGGAAAGAATCAATTAGAAACAGAAAACTGTACGTTTGAGACACATTGCAGCCATTTACCTTAAGAAATATGGCGGATATCTATTAAAAATTTTTTAGTTAGTCGATAGATTTATAGCGAACTATTTTTCATTGTGTGGAGGACTTATGGACATTAACTAGCTGTTAACGGGGATCTTTCGTTTTTTTTTTTAATTATTATTTATTTATGTAGTCTATACATCGTGTTATTATTATATCACCCTCATCCTCTCGCATATCACCACAACCCCAAATTCCCCAACTGTATCGTCTGTCGCCACCTCGTAACACCCTAATCCCGCTGAAATTCCTAAGATTTCAGCCCCGAAACCCCAGCAGTGCCCCTGTCAGCGGCACTTCCTCAAAACGTCGCCACCCCTTTGGCTCCTGAAACACCAGAAACACTGCTGAAACAATAATCCACATCACGGCTGAATGCACAGCGCGGCTATAAAAGCGACTACTTCGCCCCGAGCTGGCAGTCAGCTGTTGGCATTTGCAGCGAGAGCTCAAACCAAACGCGTTTATTTTTTACGTTTTTTTCGACCGGTGTCTGCTTCTTGCGCTTGTTGTCGTTTCTTTGCCTGTGACCATGGCCACTTACGCTGCTTACAGACACATCGAGCTTGACAAGGTTGGCTACAGCAAAAAGAGGTAAGTCGCATTTTTAGTCGAGCTTTCGAGCTTTAAGATTAGGCGTGGTTGGAGCTTTTTCGAAAAAAAATAGTTTTGCTTTTTATTGACTGAATTAGTCGAAATTTTGACAATAATTTGTTGTAGTTCGTGTTAAATAAATAGTGGGAGAGTTTTGATTTATTTAAACGGCAGGTAGTGTTAAATCTGAAGTGATACACGCCATGAACACTCATTAAAAGTTTCATATTTACATTTCTTTATTCGAATATGGCACAGCGCTTGTACTCGGATTTTAATTAATATTAATAAAGCGTTAGAAACCTCTGCAGTGGCAATCGATAGCTGCTAAGATGCTATTCAGAGTGGAAAAATAGTTTATCAGAGCGTCTCAAAAATGATGGCCAAAAATTGTATTTTCACGCTTATGACAGTGTCCAGTGTATTACTTTTGTTACTTGAATGACATTTTGGTTTTTCCGTTATTGATTTCTGCGCTGGAATTCACCAAATTTAAGTAATCTCAGGAATATAGTGTGCTCTTAATTAAAACAGATTTTTAAAATATTGAGTATTTTTGTATGAAAAAACAAGAATTTTGCTTAACTTACTTGACATTATTAGGTTATATTCTGGTTTCTCACGCGAGTTGTTTGTTATTCAGTGTCCGACATTTCGTTGATATTTTTATTTCGCATGCTTGCTTGAATCGTTATTTTATTTTATCGGTCTTCTTGACCCAACTTTCCTTTGTATGAATGAAATTTGAATTTTTAGAAAATTTAAACGAATTGAAAATTCTTATTTTTCAATCCAAACTGCATCTAAAATCTTGAAAATGTATCTATTTTTTTATTCTTAAAAAACAAATTTTAGGTTATAACTATTTCTCTAAATATTTTCGAAGTGTGGAACTCAAAATTTTGGAAATTCGCAACTATCTAAAGCGATTTCAGATCCTTGGTGACTAAATTTTGAACGGTGTATTTTCTCAAGAACAATATCCTAAATGTTCTCGAGTCGCAAAAATTATTTTTCACCTTTTTTTAGAACTGTTTCTGAAATTTCGATTTTCTAATTCTTAAAAGATGTAGAATTCAAAAACTTAAAATTCCGAAATCGTCATAGAAATATTTCAGCGTTCTTTCGCATAATCGTGATTTTTCATGAAAGGATAAAATTTCATTTTTAAAAATTATGAAGTATGCTTCCGTTGAAACTTCAAAAAACCTCATAATAAATCGCTTTTGTAAAATATCTTGAACAAAATTAGCATCCTTTGTCCACATTTCATTCAAAATTTGCGTTCTTTTAAGTAGTCTTTATTTCTGGAAACATTTTGTATATAACTGTACAGGATGTTTAATTGTATCGAAAGCATTTTTTTTTATTCTTAAAGAACAAATTTTGAGTTATAACCACATCTATAAATATTGTGCGGAACTCAAAATTTTGGAAATTCGCAACTATTTAAATGAACTCAATTTCAGTTTCTTGGTTACAAAATTTTGATTGTTGTATTTTCTCAAGAATAAAATTCTAAAAGTTTTCATGTCGCAAAAACTATTTTTCAAGTTTTTTTAGAAATATTTTTGAAATTTCGCTTTGCCATTACTTAAAAGATGTCGACTTCAGAAACTTAAAATTCTGAAATTGTTATAGAAATATTTCAGTCTTCTCTCCAATAATCGTGATTTTTCGTAAAATATAAAATTTCATTTTTTTAAATTATTAACTATGTATCCATTGAAACCTTAAAAAATCTCATAATAACTTGTCTTTACAAAAAATTCTGCACAAAATTAGCATTGTCTATTCACATTTTGTTCAAAATTTGTTATTGAAGTAGTTTTATTTCTACAAACATATAGAAAACATTATTTTTTTTTGTTCTTAAGGAAAAAATTTTGGGATATAACTATATCTATCGATATTTTCAAAAGTGTGGAAGTCAAAATTCTGGAAATTCGCAATTATCTAAGTGATCTCAATTTCAATTTCTTGGTTACAAAATTTTGATTGTTGTATTTTCTCAAGAACAAAATTCTAAAAATTTTCGTGTCGGAAAAACTATTTTTCAAGTTTTTTTTAGAAATATTTTCGAAATTTCGCTTTGCTATTACTTAAAAGATGTCGACTTCAGAAACTTAAAATTCTGAAAGTGTTATAGAAATATTTCAGTCTTCTCTCCAATGATGGTGATTTTTCGTAAAGTATAAAATTTCATTTTTTAAAATTATTAACTATGTATCCATTGAAACCTTAAAAAATCTCATAATAACTTGTGTTTACAAAAAATTCTGCACAGAATTAGCATTGTGTATTCACATTTTGTTCATAATTTGTTATTGAAGTAGTCTTTATTTCTACAAACACATTGAAAACATTTTTTTTTTGTTCTTAAGGAACAAATTTTGGGATATAACTATATCTATCAATATTTTCAAAAGTGTGCAACTATTTAAGTGAACTCAATTTCAGTTTCTCGGTTACAAAATTTTGATTGTTGTATTTTCTCAAGAATAAAATTCTAAAAGTTTTCGTGTCACAAAAATTATTTCTCAAGTTTTTTTAGAAATATTTTTGAAATTTCGCTTTGCTATCACTTAAAAGATGTTCAATTCAGAAACTTAAAATTCTGAAATTGTTATAGAAATATTTCAGTCTTCTCTCCAATGATGGTGATTTTTCGTAAAGTATAAAATTTCATTTTTTTAAATTATTAACTATGTATCCATTGAAACCTTAAAAAATCTCATAATCACTTGTCTTTACAAAAAATTCTGCACAAAATTAGCATTGTCTATTCACATTTTGTTCAAAATTTGTTATTGAAGTAGTTTTTATTTCTACAAACATATAGAAAACATTATTTTTTTTTGTTCTTAAGGAAAAAATTTTGGAATATAACTATATCTATCAATATTTTCAAAAATGTGGAAGTCAAAATTTTGGAAATTCGCAACTATTTAAGTGAACTCAAGTTCAGTTTCTTGGTTACAAAATTTTGATTGTTGTATTTTCTCAAGAACAAAATTCTAAAAGTTTTCATGTTGCAAAAACTACTTTTCAAGTTTTTTTAGAAATGTTTTTGAAATTTCGCTTTGCTATCACATAAAAGATGTCTAATTCAGAAACTTAAAATTCTGAAATTGTTATAAAAATATTTCAGTCTTCTCTCCAATGATGGTGATTTTTCGTAAAGTATAAAATTTAATTTTTTTAAATTATTAACTATGTATCCATTGAAACCTTAAAAAAATCTCATAATAACTTGTCTTTACAAAAAATTCTGCACAAAATTATCATTGTCTATTCACATTTAGTTCAAAATTTGTTATTGAAGTAGTCTTTATTTCTACAAACACATTGAAAACATTTTTTTTTTGTTCTTAAGGAACAAATTTTGGGATATAACTATATCTATCAATATTTTCAAAAGTGTGGAAGTCAAAATTTTGGAAATTCGCAACTATTTAAGTGAACTCAATTTCAATTTCTCGGTTACAAAATTTTGATTGTTGTATTTTCTCAAGAACAAAATTCTAAAAGTTTTCATGTCGCAAAAACTATTTTTCAAGTTTTTTTAGAAATATTTTTGAAATTTTGCCTTGCCATTACTTAAAAGATGTCTAATTCAGAAACTTAAAACCTGAAATTGTTATAGAAATATTTCAGTCTTCTCTCCAATAATCGTGATTTTTCGTAAAGTATAAAATTTCATTTCTTTAAATTATTAACTATGTATCCATTGAAACCTTAAAAAATCTCATAATAACTTGTCTTTACAAAAAATTCTGCACAAAATTAGCATTGTCTATTCACATTTTGTTCAAAATTTGTTATTGAATTTGTCTTTATTTCTACAAACACATTGAAAACATTATTTTTTTTTGTTCTTAACAAATTTTGGGATATAACTATATCTATCAATATTTTCAAAAGTGTGGAAGTCAAAATTTTGGAAATTCGCAACTATCTAAGTGAACTCAATTTCAGTTTCTTGGTTACAAAATTTTGATTGTTGTATTTTCTCAAGAACAAAATTCTAAAAGTTTTCATGTCGCGAAAACTCTTTTTCAAGTTTTTTTTAGAAATATTTTTTAAATTTTGCTTTGCTATTACTTAAAAGATGTCGAATTCAGAAACTTAAAATTCCGAAATATTTATGACTTTTCATAAAGTATAAAATGTCAGATTTTTTTTTGAAAAATCGCAGTTGTAAAAATTCTTGTACACTGAAAAAATGATTTTTGAAGACTGCATGCATAAATAATATTTCTGCCTAGCAGATACCACAATAATAATGCTATATAAAATTTTCTTTTCCTCGAAACCATTTTTCCCAACTCAAATTACACAGCAGCAAAATTCCAGCCCAACTTTCTACCTTCACACCCAACACTATCATCAACACCGAAAGCTTTCCTCTCACATCTACTTGAAAAAACTCATCCAACAATAGTCCACGGCAAAAAACACCCATAATCATCGACTGCCCGAGGTGCCCATTCCCATCCCATCGCCACCCACAACCGGAAAGCATCCTCTCCTTTTAAACGCTGCTAGTTCGCCTTTAGAACTACTTTCAAAAACAAAACAAAAGACCCATCAACGCCCATTACCCCGACCTTGCTGTCACTCCTGCCAAACGGCTAAAAATAATTTTCCAACATGTGCGCGCCGAGCGCCGATTCCCATGGTATAATCGTGCACGGAAAATGAGACTCAGCGTAAGGAAAGTACATGGGCAAGGTTACGCTCTTGACAAGTTCACAGTCAATGGGTGCGAAAAAATTGGTAGAAACTTTGGGTTTCTAAGTGAAATTGGTGAAAATCGTGATTCGACCATGAACCAGGGAAAATCGCGAGCATGGCGTCACGAACGAGGCGCCCATGACCATGGTACATGAACTGTGGATGATGGCGATTTTTTCCCTCAAGGGTCCGTACTGCTTTTGTAATCTTTCGAAAGCGACGAAACCTTGACCTCTCCACTATCTAAACTCTCAAAAAAATTC